AACATGGTGGTGAAAATGAAGTTTAGAATCAAGGATGATTCCCAAATCTTTAATAATATCCGTACGATTAATGCGGGATCCACAAAGCTGGTACTCAAAACAAAACGTGTTGGTTTTCCTAGTAAATGAAATAACATTGGTTTTAATAACATTAAGCTTCATGTGGTTGGATTAGCACCAGCCACAGAAGGTGTCAATGTCCTTTTGAAGTAAAGATCAATCATGAGGAGACTTTATAGCCCGAAAATGTTTTACGTCATCCGAAAAGGGCAGGTAATTCGAAAATTTAATGATATTACACAAATCATTAATGAACTCGTTGAATTAGAAAGGCCCTAATACAGATCCTTGAGGGACACCGGACAATATTTTAAAAGGAAGCCACGAAGCTTCAGAATAAAGTACTTGCGAAAGTCTGATGGTTAGGTAACTACGAAACCAATTCACATAACCAGTAAACACGTTCAAGTACAATAATTTCAATTACTTTCGAAAAATTGATAATTATGGTAAAAGATCTATAGTTTCTCACAGAAGCAGTTTTGCCTTTTTTTAAAACTGGGACAATAGTAGCCTGCTTCCGCAAAGTGGGAAAAAGTTGCTGAGAAATGATAAGATTGAAAATAAATTTAAGAATAGGAACAAGGGTTTCAGAACAACCCTTAAAAATAAAACTTGGTATACCATCAAGTCCCACAGTATTTGATGGCCTCAAACGCTTTATAGCATTATGAACATCAATGTCCGAGACAGAAAAAAAGGTAACGCATCCAAGGTGAAACTGGTGATTGGAAATCCCCAGAACAAGAGTTTGTATGGGCAGATTGAAAATGTTTGGAAAAAGCATTGGCAATTTCATAAGGCGTAGTTATAAGAGCAACTTCTACTTCTAGAATGCAACAAACCAGCATATTTTCCTAAAATTATATACATATATCCAAAATTGTTTACTCTGCGTAGCACGCATTTTAGAATTCATTATCTCATCGTTTTGCACAAACAGTGTATATATATATGTTTCGTGTTGTTAACAGAATAACCAGAATACACCACCTGGACTTTGTAACGAAAACGGATGACGAATCCCTTGAGCTAGAAACTGTATTTTGAAATATTACAATAGTTAGCGACATATTTCAAAAGATCAAATCCCTATGACCTAATTTTAAGTTATGAAATGATTCATATATATTTCCCTGCGTAATGTGTGGGATAGAGAGGGAAGACGTGCAGGAAAATGGAATGTCCGTAACAACAATTAATGTAGGTCTGATAACGCAGCTTCTCTCTGTGTGAAACAAGCAGGTCCACACATGCGTTCAGTATACTCAATAAATGACGAAAATATAAAATTAATAAAGTTCATATTATTACAGGAACTGCAATCCTTCTTGGCGTAGTCGGCAAATTGGCGTTGGTTTTAGGTGAATGCGATCTTGGTACTCCAAAACTGAAGAATGTTGATTGGAATGAAGTAAGTACTGACACACAACAATTATATAATTTCAACCGTCACACAGATATTTTATTGGACATTATAAACAATTCTATCACAACATGTAACGGCTCCAATTGATAATCAAGAGGTGAATAATGAACGTAATGCAAATCTAATTCAAGGTTTATGGACCTAAGAATGCTGTCTTCTGGGTTGTTGCGCCATGTAGTCTGGTATATGTTTACCGACGTTTCAGAGGTCCTTGCTGCCTCCATCCAGCCATCAATAAGGATTATGTTAAGACACACCAATATACACCACAACTGTGTTCCCCAGAAGATGACTGTAGCCAGTGTCATTAAATTTCTTCAGCCAGCGACATCTGAGCTCACTCCGTTAACTCCCCCCATCGTCGCACTAATGAAAGTGCAACAAGAAAACTATCGGTTTTGACAGGATTTGTGTGTCTCAGTCTCTCTAATGATCTTACAGTTGACGGATACCTGGTACTGGGTCTATCAGACATCGAATAAAGCAAAAGACAATTTTGACTGTGTTCGTAGCAACGTCATCATGTTGCCCAGCAGCAGAATGTTTATTTCTACCCTAGCATATGATAAGAGGTGAGTTTACAACATTAAGTAATTAAATTAAACTCGTTTAGGGATTTCTATTCTTTGCTTAATTACGTGACATTCACTGTCTCGTGATACAAGTACTTTGGCACGGAGGCCTCTGAGAGGCCTTTTCACTGATATCTTAAATATAAATAAGTAAAACGAGCATCTGTTATTCGTTTAATGATGACTGGAACATGAAAGTCTATGCACTTGGAGAAACACTTTTATCCGTGTAACAGAAAGCCCTATAATCGAATTCTAACTTCCACGGTCATTCGCTCGGAATATAAAATAACCGGAATAGAAGTTTAAAATAAATACACATCAATTCAAATTTAATACATTCACTCCTCTATTTGACTTCCATAATCATGTTAATGGGAAACGTGGCTACAAGCGCAAAGGATTATGAAAACTGGGACACTTACCACAAGAATATATACTTGACATTGATTTCTATACTACAAAATTTATGTATATAAATTATAACAAAATCCCACACAACAGAAACTAGTTTAAAATATATATATCTTCCCTTGTCAGAGGATACCTTCTTAGTGTATTATATTTTGTTACTAAACATTTACTTCGTTCTGACATTACAATATTAGGACACTTAGCCAGTCAATTATATGGTTCGAGATTCTGGCCGTTTATAATATAATAAGATAAAAATTTTCTAGTAATTTTATAGGTTAATCAACTGAATGTTCTTTTTCGAATCTAACAGCAAACAGCGTGAAGTTACAATCAATGGAGAAAGTTCTAACTTTACAACTAACGGATACTTTGACATTCTCAGCGAAGAATGTAAGTATGAACTGAAGTGTCCAGTTACATTTTATTCAGGAAACAATACCAAACGCTTTCGCGAAGAAAGTAAATTGTGTCATTTAAGTTGCTTCCGAAGCCAGTTTGAATGAATTAAAGACTGTCCAAATTACTTCCTTATTGGCTTACCCTATTTATAATAAACATCGTCACAGGTAATACGTTGATTAATGCTGAAATATTATTAAATTAATTCTGAGAACCATACGAAACCCTTAACATAACCTGTGTGCAAAATTTTTGTTCTGCGAGTTAAAATAGTTTACCACTGTGCTGAAAGCACCACTTCACAAACATCTTTTCTGGCGCCAAGGCTGAAACACATAAATATATCGTGTAAGATACAAAATTTTACATTTAAAAAAAAATTTACCCATAGTAACAAAATAAATTAATGTTCATATTGAACAATTACTCAAATTAAGGTAAGGTCAAATATAACCATAGTTGATAATTCTGTTAGAGGCAATTACTTAGTGATGTGTGGACCTGCTTGCAATAATAAGTTAGTAACATTTTAAATAACTGGCAATGCCGATTTAATCGAATTTCCTCACATAGACAAACTTTATGCCCTCAAGTCACCTAGAAATCTAAATGCGGTCTCAGGTATGTGCAAGGTTACATATAGTAATTCCAAGAACAAAGGATCAGGTCAGTTCACGCTCGGATTCGATTGGTCTGTATTGTTTTCAGGATTTAACTTTCTTTACTGCAGCATAAAGAAATATTTTCTGTCACTTGAACACATTTCTACTTTTCATTTCTGCAGCGTTTTGGACTGGCAGTTGCCTTCTGTTGGCAATCGAGCGCGACAGTTTCTTCGTATTGACGTTTTGCTCAAAGCAGGGTGGAAATAGTAAGTATACTTCTTGATGATTATATTATTAAGGTATTCGATGCTTCAACACTAAATACAGAGACGTTGAGACCATACAGCATCACAGTCCAGAAGATCATCCTCGTATTCACAGATAAGATAACTTCAGATCCCACACGTATATCTCTTGCTACACATAAACTAGGCTATAAAAGGCTGAGCATTTATTTTTTTCAACATTTATACCCCATCTGTCCCTGCATAACATTCCTTGACGTTCTGGCACTTAACTTCCGGCTGATAAGGACGGTACACCACCGCCGTCACTGTATCGGCGCCTACCCTCAGTCATCTTGTGTGTTTTTCGTCACAAACAAACTCTTTAATAGGCCTATTTATTGTTTGTGAAGACATCAGTTCCTGAAAATATAAATTTTTAACATTTATCTGCCTCCAAACCCTTGACGTTGAGAGTTGGATACTCTATAAAGTCTCTTTTCAAAAATGTTATACGATCTTATCCCTTATCCAAAGTTTGCTATATGCCGTATCCACCTCACCTTCTATGCTTTAAAACAAACATAAGGAACAATTCATCCTGTTCATAGTTACGTCAACTAGTCTCTTTATCGCCTTTTACTCAGTCAAAATGTTCCTGTATCAAGTTATTTGAGAAGTCACAAACTCATATGCAATAAATCGTTTAATTCATTCACATATTTAAACACTGTTTTCTTATTTATTTATTTTCATGTATTCATTTGTATTTTTAAATGAGAAAGCTCATTCGGTGTAAAGATTAGCTGCGGTTTGGACGACCGGGTTTCGATTCCGGCATGGCCAAGAATTCCTCCCCATGTCCAGAACGGCTCATAAACCCTCCCAAGCTCCTGTCAAACGGCAAACTTTAGGAGGGTGTAAAGTAACTCGCAGATGACTGTCGACAGTAAACAGATGAAGAACGAGTGGCGTCACTCCCTCCAACATTAACTTCAATTTCATTTCTTTATCTCTGTTTCTATCTTTTATTAATCAGCTAAAACTTCTAAGCTGAATTTTTACAACACGTAATCTGTTTGCAGGAATTGATTCCATCGGGTTTCGAAACCGGAGTCCTTATGAAGCGACATTGGAAAAAGCGTTTGAAGCCTTCAACGAAACCGGCCTAGATGCCAGTCAGCTTGTGAAATGGAGTGC